CAAATAATCATATAATAAAATCAGTATTTTAAAAAAATGAAATTCTTGTTTTTTAAATTATCTTGTATGTATTAACGTCGTTGTCTATAAACAATGTTAATAGACATCGTTTTTTGTTGAATTTGCAATTAATAGTTAATTAAGAGTTGGAAATATTATCATTTCTGTCTGATATTGATAGAATTAATTTTTTAATTCAATCATTGTGTTGAAATATTTTTTGATGTGTAATCAAATTAATTACTTATTTGTGTATAAAAAAATACACGGTTTAATAAAACAATATCAGAGCACATAATATCTTATAATACATCATTTATAATTATTGCAACATTATGTTTTCAATAAAAATTAACACGTTTTTAAATTATTTATAAAAAATGCTTGTGATATAATCGAACAAATTACAAATGAATTTGACAACATATCATCAATATATTATTTGTTTTTATAAACAACCACCAAACGTTGTGGACGATGTAAATTACTCAATAAAATTACTTTGTGTTTGTTTTATATAAATGTCCATTTGATAAAATGTTTGTGAATAATGATGATTTTTTTATTAGGTAATTAATTTGAAAATGCCGATTTTTTTTATTGCTTTTCAAAAGACATCAAGGTCTTTAAGTTTTATAAATAAACATTTTTACGAACTTTTTATTTTTTAGTATTTTTTTGGTAAAAAGGTAAAATTTATACTTTATACCGGAATAGGTAAAATAAATTTTACTTTTTTTTCCGTCAACCTTATTAATATTTAACAATTTATTTGTTCAGAAATAAATAAAATTTGTCTGTTTATTTATAAAATGCTCTATTTTTAAGAGTTGCGACTCGATTTTGTGGCCTAAAAAGATTTGGCACCTCCATAGTAATTTGGGATACCCTGTTTGAAAAGATAATAATTGAGACGGTATTTTTCATTTTATTTTTTAATAATAATTATATTAGATTTATATGGTTTATTTTTTCAATTCCTTTTACATAATAAATGGTATTTTGAATATTTATTTAACTAAATATTTAGGTCAGCGACTTTTAAGACTACTGAAAAGTCAGCGATTTTCAAAGGGACTGTAAAGTCGCCGAACAGCTATAACTCGAAAACAAATTTCTTTTTTATATATTATATATTTCATTGTAAAAATTTAATACAGTTGACAATTTTAAAATATGTTAACTTTATTAAAGATTTCATAAATTCTGTTTTGTATACCTTTGGGAGTCAATTTTGACAGCCCGAAATAGAACAAAATTGGAAAAAAATATAATTAGCGCAGTTCCGATTAGGACATTTTCCCCGATTTTGGTTTTAAGTTTTATGTAATTTTTGTTTGTTGAATAACAAAAAGAACGCTCTAGAGCCGCCACTTCATAACATTTTAAGGATAAAGTGCGAGTGAAAAAAAACAGACCAATCAGATTTCATCTAGTCTATAGATAGTAAATATTA